AAACTAGAACTCACTATCTCCTGGTGATTGGTCCAAAGTCACCCAGCAAGCTTTCATGCCTAACTCAGGACTAGAACTCACCAACACCTGGTTTCTAGTCTAGTACCTGATAGTTATGTTTTTCCTATTTCTTGGATTTCGTGATTTTTTTTCCAGCAAGACTTACTGGGGGGAGAACAGTCAACCACCTCAATGGCCATTTCTTAATATATATATTTTTCAGGAGAAGTTAGCTTACCACCAGAACAGCAGCCAAGCACTTCCCCCTGGACTTTATCTGGGATACCTGAAGCTCTGCAGCGCAGTTGACCAGATCCGAGTGTTGGTGCCTGAACAATTGCCTAACATCTTGTGTCATGTGAAAATACGGAGCAATTCCAACGTATCTAGGTAGGATTTTCCAATGAGAACTGATCTTTCCTGGCAACTTTTGCAAATTGCAATTCTACAACTGTAGCCAGATTAGGGTCAGATGAGTTTTTTCTTTTTGCAGGTTCATCTCCTGATTAAACAAAATTGTAAATGGAGGAGAGAGACCTAAGACAAAGTTATGGAAACTGGGCTGACAGTTTGCCTGCAGATTTGACTGGAAAGGTTAAAAACAGATATAGCCAGGTTGTGAAGTGTATTATGCAATGCAAAATATAGTCTTTTATTTATGACTGTGATGGAGCCTGGCCATCAGGGTTGTAAGTCATGAGTGTCGTAAATGAGTCTTATTCACATGACTAACTTGATTTTACAACATTTTTGGAGGTGGTTGTTAATCGAACGGAGCAGTCGTAAACCAAAACCAGTGATTTGTTATGGGCTTCCACACAACCACTGTAAAACACAGTCACATGAAATCAGGATGCTGCCAGCAGCCATAAAGGCAGTCAAGTTGCCAAGTGCCTAAAGTTTGGTCATGTGACCACAGGTGTCCGATGCAGATAACCAGGAGCCTTCACTGAGTTCAAAGCACAGAAAAGTTTATTATTGCTAAGAGTCGTGGTGGTGCAGTGGTTAGAATGTAGTACTGCAGATTACTTTTGCTGACTGCCGGTTGCCATCAGTTCAGCAGTTCAATTTTCATCAATTGAACTCAGCCTTCCACTCTTTCTAGGTTGACTCAGCCTTCCACTCTTCCTAGGTTGACTCAGCCTTCCACCCTTCTGAGGTCGGTTAAAATGAGGATCCAGATAGGGAGCAATAGGCTGACTTTGTAAACTGCTTAGAGAGGGCTATAAAGCACTGTGAAGTGGTATATAAATCTAAGTGCTATTACTCTACACAAGAATCTGGTCAACTAAAGGTCAAATCTAAACTGGCACTAGATAAAGGTCAATGGAATTCATAAGGGGCTGGGCTTGGGGTTCTTGTGGCAATGCAATAATTCCAAACTGATGACATGCTTAATCCCACCTTCCAGTTTAACCTGCTCCTCCCCTATATTGGCGGGGTGTGTGTGTATGGCAACTGTCAGAACTTTGAATTTGGATCTTAAGCATTTAAGTGACTGATTGTAAGTCAAGGATGACCTGTATAAAATAAATGCAATAGAATATCAATTGCACTAGTTAATCAAAAGGTTACGGTCTGACCTATGAAAGCACCAACACTAAGAAAGTCCATGGTTTGTATCAAATTGGATATGGAGATATTTACTTTGCTGATTTCTCCTGTGCATTTATCCATTCTCCCACATTCAAGAGAGGAATGGGAATGGCTGCAGAACCTGGCTAGCATGGAAGAGCCCATTTCCTCCAATCAAGAACTGGAAACTTCCCAGCAGCTTTTTCTTCAGGAGCTCCAAGGGGCCATCCGAGAATTGATGCAACTGGTCAACATCCCACTTCACGAGGTAGATCCTAGGTGGGAACCACGTGACGGGGGTGGGAGGGAGAAAGAAAGAGTGTGGGATTTTATAGCATGCCTGACCTGCTCCTGTCTTATTCTGACAATCCATGACAATGAAGTTTAGGCAAAGATTCTTCTGAAGTCACAGCCAGGAAACCAAGGTTGAACCCAAATGGATATCTTTGCAGTTTGGATGCAGATTCTTTTCAAAGCCACAGTGCGACCATTCTCGCACAAGTCAATTTTGTTGATGCCTCGTTGATAGAAATGGCCTGATTTGGGGGCATGGGTTATTATTCCCATGACAACAATTTACACCCTTTTTATATATGAGTTAATTGGATTATTGGATTATTGTTAAATAATCCAATTAACTCATATATAAAAAGGGTGTAAATTGTTGTCATGGGAATAATAACCCACTTGTAACTCTCTCCTTGAGATCTTCACATGAGAGAGGTGAATCAAATAAATAAATAAGTATGTGTTCTGACCAAGGCTTATTGAGATACTAACAAACACACGTTAGTCCCAAAACCCTTTTTTCTTTATTTCAACGGCTGTGAATTTTAGTCATTCACAGCCCGTAATGAGTCTCCAACAGTTTGTAAGTAGTCCCATGGAAGTCTGCCAAAGTCCTTCAGGATAAGTCTGATAAGCACCCACCTTTATCTGCCTTGAAATGCTGCCAACGACTAAATTTCCAATTAGTAATTCAAGTCCAACCGGAGCACAAATTCAACACAGAGCATCAGGTTTCAAACTGACCAGTACAAACAAAGTTGCTTCCTGCAAAGATTCCTGTCCCTTTGCTCCTCCTTTATGTCTTATGGGAGGGGTCAATCACCTCCCAGCCTTACTCCCGAGTCACCCCTTTTGTCTTAACTGTTGTTGCCTTCTGGCGGCTCTGCGCAAGTGCGTACTGGGAACGGGCTCCCTGTGTTCCTCTTCCTCACTGCTGTCAGATTCTGGAGGCTCCAGAGTCAGCATATAACTCCCAGATGATTCCCCATCTCTGTATTGGACACAGGACCCTCGTCCGAGTCCTCTACAGACTCCCAGACTGGCCCATGTTCCTCCCCACTGTCCGACTCTGGTGCTGTCTCTGCAGGCTGCCGGCAAACCACAACAGCATGCATCTATATATCTCTTATGATTGGAAATGCCAATAAGGTGCGTTCTCAATTTTGGGGAAAATTAAATTATTAATTCAGCCACATCCTCTCCCAGCTTCTCTCCAGATCTTACTATTCAATTCACCACAAACTTGAGAGCCACGTATATGACCAAAAACATTACGTCGGTGCGGAGGGCGGCTGGAGCATTGGCAGCTCCTTCTGACACTCACATCTATAGCCTGAATAAGGATAAAGTTCCACTTTCTAAAGCAAACCAGCTTTAGAATAATCCTTGGAACTGGCCATCAAAATATTAGCTTCTGCTTGTAGGTCAACGCTCAAATTCCTCTGCTTCCTACCTCGAGCAAAATGGATTTGTATTCTATCATTATTCATATTATTATTCATATTAATATATTATTCATATTATTCATCAGAATCCAATGAGAAGTCTGTGTGACAAGGAGAAACAAAGCATCTTTCTAAAACATTCTGGTCATTATAAACCATCTCAATAATAAGCCGCCCAAAAGAGCGGACAATGGTGATTTTGGCAGTTGCTTGAATGGATGGGAATTAAATGGGGTAAAGCCATCTGATTCAGTTTACAAGTCTTCATTTTGCAAGCTAGTTTTTTTTTTTAATGTAAAAAGATCTTTATGGATCCTCTTTCCTCCACCACCACTGGTTAACAGATTAAACAGGGGCGCAGGAGGTTCAGATTCAGGCCTTCACTTGACCATATGTTATCAAGTAACTTTGGGCCAAAATTATCATGTCATAGAATGGTTGTGTGATGGGAGATCCCTCATGTGCATCTTTTTAAACGTTCAAAGAAGAGGGAGAATATGAGTGCAATAAAAAACAAATATGGCAACTGCGAATGAGAAGTCCCCTCCCCGTTTCTTTGCAGAGTCCATACCTCTTCAGCTAGGAGCTTGGAGAAAGTCAATTACAATGAAAGACTTCACATCAATAAAACATTTTCTGTGTTTGAATTCTGCAGGCCAAAGATTTCCGCCTGTACAGTCAGGAAGTTCTGGACTTTGGACGGCAGGTCTCCTTTCTGTTACTTCTTCCCCCTTCAGATGATGTGTGTACTGCTCCTGGCCAGAATAACCCTCACACCCCTCGGTCCGGCTTCCTCACCCTTCCTCTTCAGATCTTCGAGCTAGGTGAGCAACAGTGCACAGAGAACTTCATTCCTTATCCTTGGAATGGGAGAACTTTCTGTCAGGGTTCCGGCGATTGCCCCAATTAAATCATGAGCCTTGAACCAAGCTTCAAAAGAATCCAAAAGATTTATTAGGAGCGACATGTTGGCATTATCCCAGTTGAAGCCAACTCTGACACTGACTGTAATTCACAGTCACCTGTGACCCTATTTCCTCCCTCCCCCTTGGGTGTGTCATACATGAGATTCTCCAACAAAACATGTTCATGGGCTGGGTGTTATCAATCACACTTTCCAATGAAGGATTTTCATAGGCAGAAGATCCGGTAGCTGTGATGACCCAGGGTAGGATACAAAAGCAAAAAGTCACAAAAACAGGTGAAGTCCCTTTAATTCCTTCAACTTGGCTTTAAAGGTCCAATTATCATTGACTGGAGAAAAAACTCCCCCACAAACAGTTGTGAAAAGGAAGAACTTCCATTCAAACTCAAAATACATATAAATTATAAATAGAAAAAAAACACACGAACCACACTGAAGCAATTAATGAGACAAGGCAGGATAAGGTCTTGAAGACATCCACAGACATCTAAATACACACACTGGGAGGGATGCCAGAACTCATATAAGAACTGACAAACTACAAATATTTTCACGCTTTGCTTCCAGCACTGGCCCATGCTCAGTTTGTCATTTTAAACAGTCCTCACAGCTGCAGCCCATGAAGGGGATCAAGGCCCTTTCCTCCCCTGTAGACTTCCCCAGTTTCCTCCACAACCTCCAAAGCCACACTCCCACTCCCTGTCAGCTGTTCCTCCTCTCCCTCGGAATCAGATTCTAACAGGGGCATGACAGTAGCCTAGGTACAATCTTTGTAAGATAAGCATGGCAACTCGGAAACAGGTATGCTTTACCAGTTGACACTCGCTATGGCCAACTCACCACAGTTGTTTTGCTGTGGCCATCTCACCGAAACCTTCTCACCGCAAGACAGCTTGTCACGGCCAATGCACCGCAGGACAATTTACCACAGGGACAGTTCCATGCAGGATAACTCAACACAATCAATGTTATCCACCACTGTTTCCTTGACATTATTTGCACTGACAAGCATGGAAACAATGTCGAAGAGACAATGGGGGATAACATTGATTGCATTGAGTTATCCTGCGTGGAATTGTCCATGTTGAGTTATTCTGTGGCGAGTTGGCCAAAGCAAGGTGGCCGTGGCAAGATAGCTGCAACGAGTTGACTGTGGCAAGATGGCCATGGTAAATTGGCCTCAGCGAGTTGTCCTAGATCCCCTTATCCTCTTTCTTGAAGGCAAAATGGCACCATGTTATTCTTTGCTATCTTTTTTCCTACGTGGGATCAATGTGCTTTCTCTCTTCTTTAGATAAGAATGCATTTTCCCATGCCATCTCACGCTAAGGTACAAAGCTCAGATTAGTACGCTGCAATCACATTTTTTACAATTGACAAAGATTGATTTTTTTTCCCCCTCTTTGAAACATGCCCTTTGTGATATATACCGTATAAAGAGGTGTTGTTTATTGAATCAAGAAAAAGAAATGATCTGGAAAGAACAAATAACTAACCTACAAATCTGTAGATGCTGGAAGTTTTGAGGTTACCAATAAATAACTTCTCCTATCATCAAAGGCCGCTTAAAGTAGAAATCAAAAATATTTCGATGTAACCATTGCAAGAATCAGCTTCAGCTTCTATGATGCTATTTTTTCTTTTCATGACATCCGATGTCCTTCCTTTTCTTTCTTTTCTAGTTCATTTCTTCATTTACGACCATGAGTTCATTAGCCAGTATTGCCAAGTTTCTGCATTCCTGGAGCTGGAATCGCTCCTTTCCCAACAAAGCCTCCGAGAAGCCTTTTCAGACTCAGAACTAACTACTGCCAAACAGCGGCATCAGCAAGTTCAGGATTATATACAGGTATTGTGAAGCAGGGAAGAGTGGTGCGGTGGCCTAGAGGTGGAACTCTCCCCTCGCAATCAGGAGGCTGTGAGTTCGATCCTAGATAGTGGTAGATATTTTCTCTCTCTGGGCACAATGAGTCATTGTCTGCTGCAAACTCTGCATTGGTGACAGGAAGGGCATCTCGGGCAGTAAATACTCCGCTCCATTCAGTTGCCCCGAATCCACCCCAATGTAAGGGATTACAGAACACTGTTCCCTTCCCACCAAAGTGGTCCCTATTTTTCTACTTGCATTTTTATTATGCTTTTGAACTGCTAGGTTGGCAGGAACTGGGACAAGTCACGGGAGTTACTTGTTACCAGCTGGCTTTTACCAATGCCACCAATTCCATTTTTATAGCATGTCTGACACCTTACAGCTTTTCCTTTGGCTTTTGGCTGATGTTGCCTTTTGACGTCCTTGTGGTTTCTACTAGAAACCTATGACAGGCAAGATACGGTAGTTGTGTGTTCCTGCAGATCTCTGAACTTCATGTCTGATTCTTTGGGTGTCTGTTTTCTTGGACAGCAAATGGAAGAGATTTGGCGAGAAATGCGTTGGATGATGGACGCCTTGCAACATGCCCGATACAAGCAATCCTCTTGTGGCCTCCCACTTGTGTGGTTTGTCAAAGAATCGAGCACAGCACAAAATGAGAAAACTCAGTCAACCTCTTCTCATTTAGACTTCCTTCCATCGCCAACCCCATCTCCTGAAATGAGCCGTAAGCTCAACTCTGGTGAGTGTTTTATTATGTTTTTACAAGGGATCTTGTATGGCTACCAGTTGGATCCCTTTTCTGGTAGGTGTCTTATGCCTTAAAATTGGCTATTGAAACTTTCCAGAAAAAAATAG